GCTACACGTGAACTCACTAACACCATACACAAAAATAAACTCAAAATGGATTAAAGACCTAAAAGTAAGGCCAGACACTATAAAACTCTTAGAGGAAAACATAGGCAGAATGCTCTATGACACAAATCACAGCAAGATCCTTTTTGACCCACCTCCTAGAGAAATGGAAATGAAAACAAAAATAAACAAATGGGACCTAATGGAACTTAAATGCTTTTGCACAGCAAAGGAAACCATAAACAAGACGAAAAGACACCCCTCAGAATGGGAGAAAATATTTGCAAATGAAGCAACTGACAAAGGATTAATCTCCAAAATATACAAGCAGCTCATGCAGCTCAATAACAAAAAAACAACCAATCCAAAAATGGGCAGAAGACCTAAACAGACATTTCTCCAAAGAAGATATATGGATTGCCAACAAACACATGAGAGAATGCTCAACATCACTAATCATTAGAGAAACGCAAATCAAAACCACAATGAGGTATCACCTCACACCAGCCAGAACGGCCATCATCAAAAAATCTACAAAGAATAAATGCTGGAGAGGGTGTGGAGAAAAGGGAACCCACTTGCACTGTTGGTGGGAATGTAAATTGATACAGCCACTATGGAGAACAGTATGGAGGTTCCTTAAAAAACTGAAAATAGAACTACCATACGACCCAGCAATTCCACTGCTGGGCATATACCCTGAGAAAACCATAATTCTAAAAGAGTCATGTACCACAATGTTCACTGCAGCTCTATTTACAATAGCCAGGACAAGGAAGCAACCTAAGTGTCCATCGACAGATGAATGGATAAAGAAGATGTGGCACATATATACAATGGAATATTACTCAGCCATAAAAAGAAACGAGGGCTTCCCTGGTGGTGCAGTGGTTGAGAGTCTGCCTGCCGATGCAGGGGACACAGGTTCGTGCCCCGGTCCGGAAAGATCCCATATGCCACAGAGCGGCTAGGCCCATGAGCCATGGTTGCTGAGCCTGCGCATCCGGAGCCTGTGCTCTGCAACAGCAGAGGCCACAACAGTGAGAGGCCCAAGTACCACAAAAATAAGAAACGAAACTGAGTTATTTGTAGTGAGGTGGATGGACCGAGAGTCTGTCATACAGAGTGAAGTAAGTCAGGAACAGAAAAACAAATACTGTGTGCTAACACATACATATGGAATGTAAAAAAAAAAAAATAAATAAATAAATGGTTATGAAGAACCAAGGGGCAGGACAGGAATAAGGACGCAGACGTAGAGAATGGACTTGAGGATACAGGGAGGGGGAAGGGCAAGCTGGGACGAAGTGAGAGAGTGGCATGGACAGATATACACTACCAAATGTAAAACAGATAGCTAGTGGGAAGCAGCCACATAGCACAGGCAGATCAGCCCGGTGCTATGTGACCACCTAGAGGGGTGGGATAGGGAGGGTGGGAGGGAGGGAGATGCAAGAGGGAGGAGAGGTCAGAATGGCCATCATCAAAAAATCTACAAACAATAAATGCTGGAGAGGGTGTGGAGAAAAGGGAACCCTCTTGCACTGTTGGTGGGAATGTAAATTGATACAGCCACTATGGAGAACAGTATGGAGGTTCCTTAAAAAACTGAAAATAGAACTACCATACGACCCAGCAATTCCACTGCTGGGCATATACCCTGAGAAAACCATAATTCTAAAAGAGTCATGTACCACAATGTTCACTGCAGCTCTATTTACAATAGCCAGGACATGGAAGCAACCTAAGTGTCCATCGACAGATGAATGGATAAAGAAGATGTGGCACATATATACAATGGAATATTACTCAGCCATAAAAAGAAACGAGGGCTTCCCTGGTGGTGCAGTGGTTGAGAGTCTGCCTGCCGATGCAGGGGACACAGGTTCGTGCCCCGGTCCGGAAAGATCCCATATGCCACAGAGCGGCTAGGCCCATGAGCCATGGTTGCTGAGCCTGCGCATCCGGAGCCTGTGCTCTGCAACAGCAGAGGCCACAACAGTGAGAGGCCCAAGTACCACAAAAATAAGAAACGAAACTGAGTTATTTGTAGTGAGGTGGATGGACCGAGAGTCTGTCATACAGAGTGAAGTAAGTCAGGAACAGAAAAACAAATACTGTGTGCTAACACATACATATGGAATGTAAAAAAAAAAAAATAAATAAATAAATGGTTATGAAGAACCAAGGGGCAGGACAGGAATAAGGACGCAGACGTAGAGAATGGACTTGAGGATACAGGGAGGGGGAAGGGCAAGCTGGGACGAAGTGAGAGAGTGGCATGGACAGATATACACTACCAAATGTAAAACAGATAGCTAGTGGGAAGCAGCCACATAGCACAGGCAGATCAGCCCGGTGCTATGTGACCACCTAGAGGGGTGGGATAGGGAGGGTGGGAGGGAGGGAGATGCAAGAGGGAGGAGATATGGGGATATATGTATATGTATTACTAATTCATTTTCTTATAAAGCAGAAACTAACACACCATTGTAAGGCAATTATACTCCGATAAAGATGTTAAAAAAAAAAGGAAAAAAGAAAAAAAAATTGCATTCTCTTTCATATGTAGCTTTAACCTATTTAATTAGAGTCCTAATTTACTTTTTTTAAGGGGGGGAAACACACACACACACACATACACAGACACACACACACACACACAAAAGGTCCATACTACCCAAAGCACCACATGCAAAAGAATGAAACTGGACCCCAATCCTACACCATACCCCAAATTAACTCGAAATGGATTAAAGACTTGAACGTAAGACCTGACCGCGGAAGTCCTATACATAGGGGCAAGCTCCTTGACATCAGTCTTGGCAGTGAGTTTTTGGATCTGACACCAAAACCAAAGGCAGCAAAATCAAAAATAAACAAGTCGGACTACATCAAACTAAAAATGGGCAAAGGACCTGAATAGCCATTTCTCAAAAAAAAAACCCCATACAAATGGCCAACAGATATATGAAAAGGTGCTCAACATCACTAATCATCAGGGGAATGTAAATCAAAACCACAATGAGATATCACCTCACACCTGTTGGAATGACTACAAAAACACAAGAAATAACAAATGTTAGCAAGGATGTGAAGAAAAGGGAACACTTATGTACTGTTGGTGGGGATATAAGTTGGTGCAGCCATTCTGGAAAACAGTCTGGAGGCTCCTCCAAAAACTTAAAAATAGAACTACCATACGATCTAGCAATTCCACTTCTGGGTGTTTACCTGAAGGAAATAAAATCACTAACTCGAAAAGATATACTCACCCTCATGTTCACGCAGCATTATTTACAATAGCCACAATACGGAAACATCCTAAGTGTCCAATGATGGATGAATGGATAAAGAAAATGTGATAGAAAGAAAAAAAAATATATGAATATAATTCAGCCATTAAAAAGAAGGAAATCCTGCCATTTGTGACAACACGGATGAACCCTGAGGGCATTATGCTAAGTGACATAAATAGACAAATACTGTAGGTCTCATTTATATGTGGAATAATCTGAAAACAAAAGAAAACAAAACAAACTCAGAACAGATTGCTGGCTGCCAGAGGTGGGGGGAGGCCACAGAGCAGGTGAACAGGTAAAGGTGGTCAAAAGGTACAAACTTCCAGTAGTAAGAGAAATAAATCCTAGGGATGTAATGTACAGCATGGTGACTACAGTTAACAATACTGTACATTAAACTTGGAAGTTGCGAAGAGAGTAGATCTTAAAAGTTCTCATCACGAGGAAAAAAAATTGTAACTCTGTGAGGTGATCAAAGGTAACTGTGACATAGTTGTTAATACGAAGTACACTTACGGTAGTAATCATTTTGTAATATACACATATGTCAAATCACCAGGTTTTCACTTAAAGTTAATACAACATTATATGTCAATTATATCTCAATAAAAACGGGGAAAAGTGGCAATGCCATTAGCATTTGCATAAAAGAAAAGGAAAAAGAAAGCAGCTGCAGTATCTCGTAATGGTTTAAGAGAATTAACGTAGGATCAAGCCTTGCTTCTCCCACTTGCTAGGTGTAAAACATTTGGACAAATGACATTGGCCCTCCAAACCTCAGTTTCCTTGATTGCAAAATGGGATAATAATAATACCCACTTTGTCTTTTTAAACCACTTAGTGGTTAAAAAGATTAAGTGAGGTGATGAACGTAAAGCACTCAGCACAGTGCCCGGCACTGTCTCGCCTATCCTGAAAACCATTGCCGGTGGGAAATTCCTGTCTTACTATGCCTGTCTCTGAACCTTTTACAGCTTGTACTTTGTTTCATTCCAATGTCAGCAGATACGGTTTTGCTTTTTAATATCCTTTCCCCCCTTTTCTACAAATCAATCTTCTGTACTGGAAACAGAGGTTCCCTCCTACTAATGTCCTATCCTTGCTGGCCAGGCCATTCCCCAGGGACACTTAGTGTTTTCTTTAACTAGACATTAACTTGGGGCAGGAGAAAAACAAGTCTATTTCTGCATCAATGGAGCAGTTCTTCAGATGCCCTCAGTTTTTCAAAGGGAAATCCTTCGCTCATTAATCAGGGTTTCAAATGAGTGCCTGTCTTCTAGCTGATGGCCAAAGCTGTGGAAGGAAGAAAAAACCCAGAGTAGGGCCTACCTAGAGTCTGCCCCTAGTGGCTGTCTGAACTCATCCAGAATGACCATGTCTGAATACACATATTTAAAATATTTCTTCCATCTCCCGCTCCTTCTGGGAAAGTTATCTTTATGCATTTGGCCCAAGGCCTGTTCAACTTTTTCTGGAGGCAGCCAGATTTGGAACACTCAAGAACACAGACGTCAGAACGGCAGAAAAAGAAGGAGCTCTCCCACCACTGCTGGAGTGAACCGTTGGCCGTCTGACAGCAAACCTTTTGGGAAAGAGCCAGCCTTGTCACCATGCTGGAGGGCTTCATGGGGGAACGGATGTGATGATAGCAAAGGGGTTGAGCGAAACACTGGCAGGTGCCCACTTCCTGGCTCTACTTACTTCTTGCCATTCATCTGCCCTCCAAGCGTAGAGTGGACACAGCGGGGCTTGGCAGGCGCGCTCTGACTCCGGTCTAGTGTATGGGTTGCACTCGGTCTCTCCGGCTATTTTGTGTGCTCCCAGCTGACAGCCCACATTTCTCCGCCGCACGCCTTGGCCACAGGACACTGAACACTAAAAGGACAAGAGTGCGTAAGTGGGATCTTCGGGTCATTTGGGGGAGGGAGTGATCATAGGGGTGGAGAGGGTCACAGATCTGGGGACCGCATTCCTAATCCAATGACCCTCACAGCTATCACAAGGCTTTCTAATTTCCAGTGAAAGGGACCCAAGAGAATGTCTTAAATCTGCAAACTCACTGCCTATCAAAGGCGGTTGGGTGAGGAAGAGACTCAGGTCAGGGGGAAGTCTTTCAGGTTCACAAAACTCTTGGACAGTGGAATAGGCTAGGGGAGATCATTCTGAGACATTCAGTACAACCTACAAGTAGTGCTGCCACGTGAAATGAAAATCCCAAATGATTTCTATCCTGGAAGGTTGAAGGGTCTTGAAAATTGGAGATACAGTTCTGTACAAGAGAATTTCTTGGCAGATGGAAAATATAACTCAAGTTTTTAGGGCCTTATAAATAGAATTAGTTTCTTCCCTCTCTTCTTCTTGCTCCTATTCCTGGAGATAGGGAAATTTTTTTTTTTAAACTATGGAATTCGTTAAAGTATTTGTATCTATTTACAACCTCGGATGAATATACAAAAAATAAAAGCTGACCAAAAAAAAAAAAAAATTTCCTCGGGTGTTGTGTTTTCAGTCCGTGAAAAATACTGTTAATCAGGCTGAAACATTTTGTTGACCAAGTTGCACAACAAAACACCCTATTAATCTGTAATTAACTTTCCTCTAAATTAATTTTTTTTAATGGTTTCCTCATTGCTGCGTTTCATAATCTCACTTATGGTCAGGCCAAGAATTACTGTCTTTATTAAGCTTTTGACATTCAGAAACTAAAGGCAACATCTGACTGGAAAGAACAGCCTATTATTTCACTTAGCTATTAAAAACTGTTTCCAAGTTTTTGTGATAGCTCAGCTGCCATTCATTTGTCTAATTGAGAAAACAAGCTTAACATACACTAAAGCCATAATCCTAAGAGGATGGTCTTGGTAAAGAATAGAATCACGCTTTTAAATTAGACAAAAATTCTTGTCCAATTAACCTGCAGCAGGAGTCATCGTTCTCTGAGGCTAATGGAAATTTACTAACAAGAAGCACACCCTAATGAATTCTGCTGCATAATAATATTATTTCCGTTTCAGATTCTAAGAAAATAGGTGGTAGTGTTTAGAAGGCATCTTGGGAAATAATATCATTTCAGATGAGTCTATGCCAGGCAGGAGCTTAAATGTTCACATCAAAGCTAGCTGAAGAGAAGGAAATATTTTGGAGCAACATAGCTACTATTGTTTGGGTTTAATTGTATTAATTGGATTGAATGAGTTTGTGACCCACAAGGAACCAGACTTTTTTTTTTTTTTGCGTACGTGGGCCTCTCACTGTTGTGGCCTCTCCCGTTGCGGAGCACAGGCTCCGGACGCGCAGGCTCAGCGGCCATGGCTCACGGGCCCAGCCGCTCCGCGGCATGTAGGATCTTCCCGGACCGGAGCACGAACCCGCGTCCCCTGCATCGGCAGGCGGACTCTCAACCACTGCGCCACTAGGGAAGCCCTGAAACTTCTTTTTGATGCTATTGTTTGTTACTGAGTTTGTTACTGAGTTAACCGTAAGTAAATTATTACTTACGGCTCAGCAAAGGCAAGGTATTAAGAGCCATAAGCAACCAATATTTTAAAAATTATTTCTACAATGTTCGATATTTTTTCAAAAGATAAAGGAAGTTTCAGTGATACAGTATGTCACTGTGGCTTCTGATTTTCATAGTGTCAAAGCTAGCCTTGAATTAACACATTCAAAAGTTTCGACAGGACTTACATGCAAGTAAGGTGTAAGCCCTGCCTCTGTGAATACTGCATCCATGGTAATCTTTGTTCAAAATGAAGTATACTGCATCAGAGTTAGTTCTCCGTGTTTAACTTTTCTTCCTGTGCTGTCTCAGGGCTTGCTTGCCCCAGGCTTGCTTGGTGAATTCTGAGAGATTTGTGCGGAAGCGCCATGAATAAAACAGCATCAAAAAGACCTCTGCATGACCCTGGAGGTGCTGATGGTGGTGGTGTGTGCACGTGTGCGTGCTTAATGCTTCTTGTTTTATTTAGTCCAACTTTAAGTTATTCTGCAGAAGAAAGAGGTTGAGCGGTGTCTATTAACATGCCCCCCTCCTCTGTCCCATCTATCATTTCTGCATGGCAGTCTATTTGTGCCGGTTTGAAAGTAGATGTTTTTAGTTCCAAACTACTGAGCTGGGAGCTGTGTTTCACCTCTCTGTACTCCCTACTGTGCAATGCTAGTATGCAGAACTCACCGATTTAAAGGGGAAACAATGCTTATTTCCATAGGTAAAAAGAATCTCTATGGAACTTCTGATGTTTAGCGAATTGTAGTATACACTTGAAAACCTGGAAAGAATTTTACATACTTTTTTCCAGTACAACTATTGCAACCATGGCAGTGACATTATTTAAAAGGAGGGATTAGTTTGAAAAATAACTATATGAACCAACTTTAATAAATAATAACTGGTAACAACAATAGCAAACTTAGTAAGCATTTACTAGCCGAGGCTCTTTTCTAGGGTTTCTCAACCTAATAATTCATTTTTGTTGGGGGTGTCCTGTGCATTGTAGAAAGTTTAGGAGCATCCCTGGACTCTACCCTACTACATGGCAGTTGCATTTCCCCTCCTCTGCCAACGTGAGATAACCAAAACTGTCTCTAGACACTGCCAAACGTCCCAAGAGATACAAAATCACTGCCAGTTGAGACCTTAGTTCTATGCTAAGCATCTTGCGTAAAATCTCTTTCATACTTCCTAGTAAACCTTTTAAGTAGATGCTCCACAAATAAAGCAAACAACAGAGATAATCACCCTAACTCAAGCAAAAACAAAAACAGAAAATAGTCCAAGTAAATTCTTATCCTAGGCAATAAACCAAAGCTACCGTGGATTAAAATTTGGCTTCCAGTTTTAAAATATGGTGCTAATATTATGCAGGCTTTTGTTCATCAGCAAGAGTGTGGGTGAAAAGCCTGTATTCAAACAATTCACCATCAATGCTTGCAGTTCAAATACAAAGTAACAAGAAAGCACAAATCACTAAGGCAACTCTAGTTCTCATCACTGACCATGTGCATATGGTTCCCCTGACTTCTCAAAGGACACACGCTACACATTTGCCATGTTTCTCCATTAGACACTTGCAGAATACTTCAGAATCAGACACCACAACCAAGCCGCTCTCATTGTTATTACAAGAAAAATCCCAACCAAAAATGGCTGGTAGGTTCATAATGCAATCTGCCAGTTACCATTTTGGCATGAGCACTGAAGAGCTTTTAAAAATTAAGTATTTCTCTGAATTTAAGACACCACTGATACCAAGACACAGTATTACATTTTGTATCACTCAGAAAGAAAACAAGAGCAATTAATTAAATCATGGCCTTCCGTTGGTTGTTAGGCCCATCCTGACCACAGAAATGTTAAAATATGAAAAAAACAGGCATCTCAGGATTGAATGAATTCATGATTGATAAATGATGATGAAGTGTTACTTTCATTCTACTCTGATGATTTATTGTTTAGTCCTTATCTTCATTTGTTTGAAAAGCCTTTCTATAGGAACAGGACACATTAAAAATTTTTTATTCTGGAATGCCTTTTTTTTTTTTTTTTTTTGCGGTACGCGGGCCTCTCACTGTTGTGGCCTCTCCCGTTGCGGAGCACAGGCTCTGGACGCGCAGGCTCAGTGGCCATGGCTCACGGGCCCAGCCGCTCCGCGGCATGTGGGATCCTCCCGGGCTGGGGCACGAACCCGCGTCCCCTGCATCGACAGGTGGACTCTCAACCACTGCGCCACCAGGGAAGCCCCTGGAATGCTTTTGAATCATGTGACTACAAAGCCTTCACATTTATCAAGCTGAATCAAGAAATGGATGCTGATTGTGTCTGAAAATTTCATCCCTCAGCTCTTGATCAAAATCATCTAAACAAACTGAACATGACCTTTTGGAAAAAAATGCTTTCAAACTTTATTGAGGATGTTTTCCAATAAAAGCTGTTCTTTTATTGGAAAAATTTCCTTGACACATTCCAGATTTTCGAAAGATGTAAAAGTGAAATATTCCGCTTTAAACCTCAAAACACCAATTCTGAGGGAAAGACAAAGAAGATTAGCAAGGCTATACTAGTCTCCTAGCCCAATATTCTATATGCCTTACCGTCACACATTTTGACATGATGAGAAATTGCAATAATTATTCTCCCTACCTTGAAGATGAGATGACTAGAATATAGCTAACAGCAGAAAACAGAAGGACCAGATATAAAACTTTCTAAATATTGTTGCAAATGAATAATCGTTATTCTTGCTTTATATTACTGCCTTAGGGATATTTCTGTTTACCATGGGATCATTAGTAAACCAATAACCTTTAATCATGCAGACTGTCTTTCTCCATCAAACTCTGGGTCTGATTATTTTCAGGTATGCTTCTAAATTGCACAAATTGGATTTTACCCATGCAGCATCTTGTCTTGCCTGCTTTTATAATTCATTTCTATAAATCAAATCAGAGCATTAGAAAGTTGGCCACAGATCATTACGTAACTGTGTTTACTTGCATTTTCCACAAAGGTAGCTAGACTTTTCTAAGCAATCCTTTTGAACAGGTGCGGGTCTTTTCTGGGGAGGAATTCCGATAATCCTATTACCTTATGTTTGAAAAAACCCCAAGGGTTCAAACCTAATCATCCCAGCTTTGTGAACAATTTTAGACTTCCCATCAAGATCACAGAATACTAGAGTAAAACTCACTCTGTGTTTACCAATAAAGAGTCAAAGCTTCTTTTAATCATCCTTTTATTGAATGAACTGGCCTTTATAATGAGTACCATTTACATGCTCTCAACTTAATATTCAGGACAAGATGCAAACAGTAGATATGTCCAAGGGACATAAAGAAAAGTAACAGAGCATGAAAAGTGTGCAAGAGGACAAGCTAATTAGTGTGGTACCTTTTAAAATTTTTTTTGTAAAGGATCTTTTTTTTTTCAGATGTTGGGGGTAGGAGTTTATTAATTAATTAATTAATTTTTGCCGTGTTGGGTCTTCGTTTCTGTGCGAGGGCTTTCTCTAGTTGTGGCAAGCGGGGGCCACTCTTCATCGCGGTGCGCGGGCCTCTCACTATCACGGCCTCTCCCGCTGTGGAGCACAGGCTCCAGACGCGCAGGCTCAGTAGTTGTGGCTCACGGGCCTAGTTGCTCTGCGGCATGTGGGATCTTCCCAGACCAGGGCTCAAACCCGTGCCCCCTGCATTAGCAGGCAGATTCCCAACCACTGCGCCACCAGGGAAGCCCAGGTGTGGTATCTTAAATAATGTTAGCTGTAGGCTTTTACATGCATTGAATAGCTCCAAAAATAAAAAGGGCTGGAAGTTACAGATGACACTAGTCACTTAAGACAAACCATTAAGGATGACCAGTATGAAATACTGCCTAGAAATCTGGTCCCTTAAGGAAGCCAGAGGAGGAGCTAGCTCTGGCTGGGCACAGATGCTTTGATTTGTTAAAACAAAAATAAAAACAAAACATGATCATCATGATAAAAGCACTGAGAGGGATGAGGCTCCCCTGCTGGGGAATGATGCAGGCCATGTTTTATTTCTCTGTGAAGAGAATTAAGACTGTGAGGTATGGGACACAATGATGGCAGCTCAGGGCATTTAAGAAAAATTCACGTTTCTAGAGGAATTTTCTATTAGTCATGTTCAAATGGAGGATTCTCAATTCCTCCTCATGCTAACACACCTGTGCAAAGCTTCTTTGGGGTACCAGGAATCAAGAACCAGGCTCTGAAAGCATCAATTCTAGAGGCTGCTAACCTTGAACCTAGTTTTCTATTGATTCTCCGGAGTATCTTCATACATCTCCACTGCATAGGAGAGCTACAAATTCAGTAAAACCTTCCTGAATCAAGTTAATGGAGAGAAAGAACACACTGAATACAGAACACGTGAAAAGAAATTGGGCCTTATTACTTTTAAGTAAGCACCTCAACCAAGCTGAGGAAATGGACAAGTGTGGAGTGACAAGATCTACTTTAAGGGCCAGATATGAGTGACTTTTGTTCACCCCTCAATTGTTTATAGGTAAACAGAAGCTTCTGAAGTTCCCTGCTGAATTCAATAAGGGAAACTCTCCCACCCAGTTCCTGACTAGGTTACCAAAGGTTTAGAATTAGAGTCTAACTGTAGTCAGTTTCTTGGGTACTTATTCTCTTTCCCCATTGGATATACCCACATCGCACTCATCCAAGTAAAAAAAATTATTACTTTTGAGATCTTATTAGATTTAAAACCCCAGAGCTAAGTACATGGCATTCATTACTGCTTGGAATCCTCATAAGAGCTATATGAAGTCAGCTCGGCAAGGTCAAACAAATCACCCAAGGTTGCAGAGCTAGGAAACGACAGAGAACTTCCCCATCTGTCCCCCACCTCTATTGTATACAAGCTAACAGGCAGACAAGTATTCTCGAATACTTTATATTGACAGCCTTTTCTTTAAGAACCTCAAAGGTAAATTCAGACCCACTTCCTGCCAGGTAACATACTCAACCTTACTAGAATCTGAATTAGTGGTTTTTTAAGTGGTCAATAGTAATAAAAATGCCATCAGCGAAGGACTGAGGGGCTACTCCGTTCTAGACAGCTGACATCTACATCTACCACCGCTTGGAATTAATCCTCACAACTGTCCTATTGTAGATGGTATCCAAAGTGCCAAGGGCTGAAGCCACTTGCCCAAGGTCCCACAGCTAGCGAGTATCCTGACATAAAGCTGTTTCCCTCCCTGTCCCCAAGCTCCCCTCTGAAAAACCAAAACCGCGCAGGGAAACAAGCCAGCACACTGGTGTCAGCCATGTGGCCGAAGGTAAGGAAGCAGTCATGAGAGGAGAAGCATTGCTCACCTGACTCCACGCGCCAGCCTTCCACTTGGGGCATCTTCCTCCTCGGCACTTTCTGTGCCCATTTGGCTTAGCAAGGTGTTTACAGTAATCACTTTCTAAATGACTTCCATCTTTTGCCATGCAGTAAACATTTCGTTGTTTATGCCCTCGACCACAAGAGACAGAACACTGAAATATAAAGCAATGGCAAGGTTGTTGTTGTTTTTTTTTTAATCACAAGGAATTTGATAAAAACCTGTGTCGTGAGATGTTACGATCATGCCTAACGAGAGTCACCATTCCCCCCTTTTGCAGTGCCATTTTGGATAACACCCCAAGGCTCAACACGGAAGGAAGGCAGCAATGGAGAAAACCATGTGGACAGCATGACGGCAGGAATCCTGTCTAGTATCTTGGGTCACTCAAGAACGAGGGTAAATCCTGGTAATTTAGGCCAAAAATGAAGCCCACGAACCTGAAATTACCATGAAATTCTGATTTACAGAAGTCCTACTATGAATTAGTTAGGATTCCTTTCGGACATCTCACTTCACGCAATCGCTGATCAAGACATTTCTTCAACAAATTACGTCGCAATTCACTCTTTTGGATAAAGGTGTGCTTCCAAATGCAGCTGTGTCCCATTTCCTAGTGAATTGATTTAAGGAAACTCTTCTATCATTTTTCAGAGGAGAAGCTCTCATTTTCCCAGTCCATTGGAAAGGAGGTGAAAAAGGCATGTTAGCAACTGAAAGGTAAGCTAGCAGGTGGGTCAGTGCCAAGTCTGGGAGGGAGGCATTACCTTTCAACTTTGATCTGCAGGTTCACTGAACTGTTTTAATGTGACCTTGTCTGACCACATCTAAGAAACTTGACTTTGATTTCAGAGTAGGTTTCTCAGAAAGGTTTAGGAATCAAAGGGCTCATGGCGTCAGGACAAAAATTTGATATGACAGCTCTCTGTGGAATAGGCAAGAGGCTGGCCCCCATGAGTATGCTGAGATATTCAACATCCATTGCCTCATTAACGATTACAGAAGTCATTACCACTTGGATCATAAGCTTACTGGCTCCCGTTTTCAAGACACATTATTTCCCAATATAATGTCCTTACATGTCAGAGGGAAATGAGCTTAAGAGTGAAGAGCAAAATGTGAAAACACAGCAAAAATAGATTTCAAGTGTCATTTCCTTCTACTCAATGCTTCTAATTTCCCCTGCTAACTCTGTGATTTTGTTAACTTAAATGGCCAAAGTACCCTTTTATGCCTAATAGGTAAATAGCACCATGTAAAACATGCAGCCTAACATAAATCCAAACACTATTGCCAAGCAAGCTCAGAGTGATCCCATTCATAAACATGTCAGACACGTTTTTCTAGTAAGCATAAACCATTATAAAAATTCCAATAGCAGCTGCTAGAGAAATTTAAAATATGTATATTAATATGTTTGGCTATAACTTTTTACTTTAGGAGATGGAAACGTTGTTTTGAGCTCTCATCTTGTGAGTATTATGATTTGGAGTAGTCATTCTGGCACTCTTAATAAGAGTATACAGTGTGGAAGGAAAGAGCCGAATTTAGATATCTACACCGAAACAAAAATATCCATCCTTCAACGTACAGTGTTTGGATGTATATAAAGACTTTGGGCTATAATTCTAGAAGGCTTTTAGAATGAACCTCCAAGAAGTATGCCTATAAACCAATTGTCTAGTGACTTACACACAGATAATCCCTGTTATCAGTGACTATTTTAATATTTAAAAATGTTACTTCCACCAAAAAATACAGGCACAGTTAGAATCTGAGGTGAGATCATTTGTTTATTCAGCAAACATTTATTGAGCACCTACTAAGTTTCATACGTTATGCAAAGTGCTGGGAATACAGTGATAAGTAAAACTGATATAATTCCAGCCCTCATGGAGTTTACAGACCAGTGAGGGAGGCCAGCAGTAATCAAGTGATGACAAAAATAAATATATACATGCTACCTGAGATGAGTACTCTGAAGAAAACAAGCTGGAGTGGTTGCAAGAGGGCTCCCTGAGGCATTCCCTGGGGCCAGACCATGCAGAGCTCATAGGTCATAATAATATATTTCATTCTCCACGAGAGGGAAGATCACTGAGGAGTTTTAAGTCGGGGTAAGACACACTCTGATTTTTCTTTCAAAAATTCTACTTTGACTACCGGCTAGGCAATGAGTGGAAATACAGCCTAAGTGGAAACAAGAAAACTGCTCAGGAAGCTAATGCATTTGTCCAAGCAAGAGGTGATGGTGGCATAGACTAGGGTGCAGAGTGGAGGGGTGAAGGAAGTTGGTGAATTGAAGACGCCATTTTTTGAAGTAGAAATGATAATTCCTGACGGATCAGCTGTGGGGTGGAGGGGAGAGGGGAGAGTCAGGAAGGTCTCCTGGGTTTCTGGTATGGGCAACTGGATAGACAGTGATGACATGAATAGAGATGGGAAAAACTGCATTGGGAGTCAAGCATATATTGCTTTGTAGGAAATGAGCTGAACTTAAAGGATATGGATTCATGGGTGGTAATGTGCTTGATTATGGTGAAGAAATAGACATAGTTGTCTTATTAATCAGATGAACATGGGTCAACTTAAAGCAAGTCTACCGTGAAGGATCATCATTTCAATATACAAACAGTCCAGACAAGCTGTCCCTTAGTATGGAGGGGGGAAGGAGAATTGGTGGAAATGCTGATTTAGTAAATCTACCCATTGACCTGTCAGTTCCATGAGGGCAGGGATTATGGAAGTTTTGTTCATCACTATACTCCAGCACTTTGCATAATTCTTGGAACTTAGTAGGTGCTCAGTAAATGTTGAATACACAAATGAAACAAATCCCATTTAGTGGTCACTGGAAGAGATAACCGAAAAGTAGGGAGCAATCTACAGAGGCAGAATCAGAAAAGGCACAGCTTTCTCCCACTTACTGGGTGCCAGTCACTGTTCTAAGACTTTATATACATTATCTCATTTAATCATTCCAATAACCATAGAGATAGGTACTATTACTGGAGACAAATGGTGTTTTCAAAATGGCATAACCAAAATGCTTTATATGTATATATCTCTTCCCACATGACTCCAATCCAAGTGGCTAGATGTCTGTTGGGAACATAACAGCACAATGAAAATAATTAAGTTATCAACAACGTCACTGATAATGATTCATCTGAGGGGCACCACTGGTGCAACCAACATCTATTGCCCACGAAATGAAGACAGATGAACTTGATACGAAATATGAAGCCTTAAAAATCTTTTAAATGTCTGGATTAGTTGCATCCCACCCATTCCTATGTGTGGTTTTCTCATTTGGGAACTTCAGTGGAACTGACTCGGAAAACAGGATGCAATACTACACATATTATTTGCCTCAAATTAAGATCTAAAAGCGATAAGGAAATTCACAAGGTATCTAATCTGATAGCAAACACTTTTCATTTCATGCTTTCTAACTTACCAATGAAGAAAAGCAGCTGCTTGTGGAAATTTTCCTATCTAACAGGTTTATTAGTGGGTCTATTATGATCTCATAAAGAAGTTATCATCTTGATAATCAAACACAGGTTTCAGCTCTTCTATTCTGAGGGAAATTTCCATCTGATTTTTTCCAGTCCTTTCCCAGGCAGTGACTTTTGCATCAATGTGCATCACAGATTATAATAGTTAAATTTAGAGTGTCACCTAGTACATATTATTTATTGGCTACATATCTGAGGGCTCTTGCTCTGGGGAATATTTAATTCCTTATATTTACAGCCAAAATAATCTCCTAGTTTGCCAGTAGGACTCTGACTTTTTCCTCTGGGGAAACAATCCAACTTGTTTAAGAGAAAGATTTCCCCCCAACTTTGGGCAACACTCTCAAACAAAGTAATCTCTGCTTGTTACAGAGAAACACCAAGGTCAGTAGCTCAAATGCCTGGGCTTTTGTTTCTGCGAGGTCATTCAAAGGGAATGTTTAATGTGGAGCTTTGTTCAGATGCTGTCTTTACTCTTTAGACGAAGGTCTAAGAGTTTAAAATCCTTGCATTTCAACACATCTGGTGGAAACACAACTGGCTCCCTCTCTAGTGGTAGCTCTGGATGTGGTGTGGATTTGTATCTCACTGTTCCTGGTGTGCTGTCCCTGGCATTAGGGTTGTCCTACATCGGTTCTTTCACTTATACTGTGGGGCTGGGTCTCTGTCACCAAGAAGCCAGCAAACAACCCCAGTGTGTCTGCCTGGATGAGAAGGGGTGAAGACCTAGAAAGAATGAGATCTCCAGCATTGCCGAGGCTGCTGAGAACCTGGACATCCAAGTGGAGATGGGAGGACCACACGGAATTGGTAAGGATGCCATGAGGAACCAAGAAGGAATAGGAAGGGGAGGGCTTAGGTCAGGGATGCACACAGAATCTGGCTAGAAGGCAGCTTCTTGATGGGGCTATATGATGCTGGGGCTCAGAGGAAGCACCGGTGTGGATGGGGTGTGGGTCAGGACTGCCTGAGTTGTAGCATATGCTTATACATAAGGGTTAATAGATGGTCTAGGAGGACAGTCCCAGCAGAGTGGGCACAGTTGAGTGTGTCTGCGTGATTCCTATTTCCAAGTGATCTGTATACATAAGATTCTGTTTATATGAAATGTCTTATGGAGGATGTTGATCAACTAGTCCCTATTTCCAACCAGAGGGCTGGCTGACAGCAGGTTAGAAGTAAGACAGAATTGAGAAGCCAAGAGAAAGGTCATATACTAGAATCCATTACCAAGCTAAGCCAAGACTCTGATAATCTAAGGATTTTTGACAATCAGGTTTAACCATCACTCTGAGACTGGTGGGCAGAGTTCAGTTGTGAGACAGGAGACTGTACTAACTATTATTCAAGGCATTTCCCTTGTGATTCTATAAAATATGAAAAAAACATCTAAATCACTTCATCTAAAAAATGAAGTGTGTCTTTTTATAACAACAAGCTCTTCTTTTTTTTTTTTTTTTTTCAACAAGCTCTGAATTCTACTCTCATTTTGACTTTGTTTAAGAAACATAAAGGCAGACCTCATCTGGAAAGTATGATATCAGAAAGGAGGCAATGCTCATGCCCATGGTTCAGAACTGCCTTTGCCAGTTATAATGACAAGTGAAGTGAGTATTGCATGAACATCACACAA